TCCTCGCATAAGGAGACAACAAGAACAAAGCTAACAAGAACAAAGCTCTGTCTGAAAGTTAGTATAAATAAAAATGAATGTCTGAGCGTAACAAGCCATCCAGTGGCGTGACCAAGAGACTGGAGTAGACTCCTAAGTAGACTAGTTAGGAACTTCCGGTAGTTGTGGGAACCGACCCGAAGGAGCAGCATTTCCACTATCCAGTATGCACAACCTTAGTTTAGTATCCCAAACCCCAACCTCTCATCCCTCCATATCTGCGGAACGGCTTTTGCGATTCTACATCATACCAACGTTTCTAACCTCTTGGCGCTTACTGTCTAGATCAAGCTGTTTGGAATATTCCCGAAGCACGGGGGTGCACGTTGTACTCCATATTCAAACCTCGTCGACGTTCCACTCGGAAGGTTGTCCGTCATAGGATCCCGGCCACCACCGCTAGTCATTGAATGAATCCTGAGGGCCAACACGGTTCAATATTAAGAAACAACACCGCGGGATCTCCTTTGCCAATACAGGCTCAAATGGTAGAGGTGACTAGCAAATCCCTACGGCTTGAGATACGCCGTATGTATTTATATTGTATTACTACATTAATAACCAGCTTCTAGAAGCGGGGCTCTTAGAATTTAACTGCATACCTATCCTTAACGCCAACTAACAGCGCTTAGATGACAATGTCTTCCCAGTTTACTTCAGTCTTCTCTCTCTTCCGTCACACTTTTAATCTCGTAGGATCTCGACTGTAAAATGCCGGAGAAATATCCTCCCTCATAGTCTAAGCTGCATATCTGAGACCCAGTGGCTGCCTCTAGCATAGCGGTAACCGCCAGTTTGTTTTATCCAGCGGTAGCCCATTACACAGACTCCCATTTCCCGCAATTTTGCCTGCGCTTGCTGCTCTCGGCGGCGATTTCGTTCCACCGGCTCTCTCTGCTTGCGAATTTTTCCAGTTCCTCTTCCCGTGCCCTTCTTTCTAGCTCCCGTTGCAGGCGGGTTTGTTTATGGCGGGCCCTAGCCTCCTCATGGCCACTTCACCGTGCTTCTTCCACTTCCCGAACCACAATGTCCTCATCTTCCTTCGCTTTCTGAAGAGCCTTTGCCTGGTTCTCTTCGGCCTCTTTCAAATTCATACTCCTTATCTCGAGCTTCAGCAGCGGCCTTGTCCTGTTGGAGCTTGCTCCACACTTCATCCGTGACTTTAGTATCTCGCGGGTCAGTATCTGTAGGTGGGAGGCCGGGACGCTTCACGAGCCATAGCATCATCTCCAGGCCTCACTGCGAACTCAACCAGAATAGCGCCGGAGACAATTTCATAGTTCACATTGGTCCGTGCTTCCATAAGTTGTAGACAATCCGCCCCATGAATGCAGCTAGTAAACCATGGCTGCGAATATAAAGTACGAGCATTCCAACAGTGCGATCAACCAGCAAGCACAGTAGTGTTGAAAAAAGGCAAAAAATAATAAATGAATAGAGTAGTACATGCCGAGGATAAAGGACTTCTTTTTATATCACGAACCCTGCTGCGCAAAGTAAAAATTCCTAAGCCAAGGTTGGTAAAAATGGCGGCCAGACTTCTGACCTGTCGTTCTTTGACCGGTGCTCCACTGCTAGCGGCATTTATCGAGGAATATCCTAACTCACCTCAATTTCAGTGCCTGGCATATTTAGTCTAGTCAACAAGACTTGACTTTAGCAGCTTAGCTTCATATACTGGAGAGAGCCAGAGAATGAACCGTGTATTCATGGTAGACAGTGGACAAGGAACGGGACGGGAGTGGGTTATGGAACTTGAGCATAATTGATTGAGCATCGTTAAACAGTAGTACGTTCTGATAAGTGCATCCGCCTGAATTCAGACGGCTCAATAATCTAACAAGAGGACCGGTCCCACCCTGCTCAACTTTGCTCAACTTGCTCAACTGTGCTCGGGCGTGCTCAGGTGTGCTAGTTCATTACGGCACACCGAGAAATGATTCGTTGATTAGAGCGGGCACTAATGCTCAATCTTGTCCTATGCATGATCGTGCAGCATCTGGTAGTCAAGCAAAAAATATAGGGCCTCATAACCTGTTTCGCCTCTCAAATAATCGAGGATTCTCAGGGATACTCGTCCTTGCGAAGTGAAGGACGCAAACATTTTGGCATGTTCTTACGATACTAATCGTGGTCACCAATCAGGGAGAATAAATTGCGCTTCTCCTAGAAAAATACCGGGAGGTTCGAACAGACGGGCTATTGGATTCTCCAAGCAACGGTTCCCTATCTTAATCCATTAAGCGTACTTGAGTCATTATGGAGAGAATCAAGACATATACTTGTGAACCTCAAGCGTTGTCCTGAGCGCCAGCATTGCCAGGGCCCAGCAATAGAGAGACGAGATACGGCCGGAGCCATGTAACGAACAAGTAGTCATGTAAGCTAATTTACCTGCCCTTTCCACACAAGATGCCCCAAGGATTTTTTTCAGACGATGGCCGTATGCAAAGAGCTTAACTTACCTCTAATAAGACCGTGCAGCTGTGTGGTGATCCAGTCCGTTTCCGGAAGTATTAACCCGAGGCCCGGGTGACCTCAACTGTAGTAGCGTAGAGCTTTGCAGTCAACAAAAGCTCACACGAGATGGCTGTCTTATCCTTGCCGGTACCGCCCGGACATTGCTCCTTTTACAGCCGTGAGCGGTGCATAGGCGATCCCTGAGCGATCCCTAAGCGATCCCAGAGCAATCCCAGAGCAATCCACGAGCAATCCATAAGCAATCTAACAACAATCCAACAACAATCCAAGACTGGTCTAGGTGATACACCAAAGTAAGCAGAAACGCCTTCAAGTCTCAACAATTACGTATCTGGTACCCTTGGAACTTTGTGCAGCCTTTTGGTGCTTAGATAACATTGATTCTATATCACATATGAAAGGCTAATGGATTTACTAGCCCTCATCGCAGTAGGTAATAATAAGTAGGAGCTTAAGAAAAGGACGCAAATACTGTCCAAGCTTGCTTTCCACAATCTTTCCAGCTGTAAATGAAAGGACAATGTGAGATTAGGTTACTGAACTGCGTTCAAGTCTATCTCTCCATCATGTAACCTCCTTAGTTGCAGCTGTTTTTGAACTGTGGTTTGTTAGCTCATCATGATTGCTTGGATGATAAAGTAGCACAGACACCCGCAAGCTTGCTATTCATCCCCTGACTTAGGCAGAATTGGAGCTTCCCTCTGCATCTTATACCCACGGCGGATACTGTAATAATGAGTCTTCCTGGCGAAGCTTCTATACTAACCAGGTACAGTCTTTCGGAAACTTTGCTACATCTGGCTGCTTAATATCACCCATTCTGGTTGGTTCGAGCTGGTAGAAGAAACAAGCTACCTAGGACGGATTGTAGAGTGCAAGTATAGTCGAGTCTATAGTTCTAGTCATCATCGACAAGGAACCCAAAAAAGGCCTTATTCCGTGGGATATCCCCAATGGGAAATTTTCCGAGAATGTCGATGATGCGTTGGGATGTAGGCTGGTACGTGGGAGCGAGAATGGATAGCTTATGAACGTTGATACTCTTGGGATCTATCTGACCATTCCCAAGAGCTGATACCCTTGTTCCTAGCAACACAGTGTCTATTCATGGGAGCCATGAGACCCCTGGAAACCATGGTGTTCTTTCTCGGGAGCAATGGATCCTCTGCCGGAGACATGGTCGTCATCCTCTGAGGCCCTCTCAGCGGTAACCGATATTTCCCGCATGCGTGGGATCGCATGTTGCAACTCTAAGAAAACATCTACGCCCGTACCCAAGCCGCTGTTTACCGATAATCACCTTCAATATTACAGACCACCTGCTAACATTGGTGGGGGTGTCTTGACGCTGATCAGCATCCCATGTCCCAGACGCCTTGAGCATAGGGAAACGCTGCCCCGGAGCAACACGGGAACCCGGATGCCTGTCTCTCACCAACCCCGATCGCTCGGGAATCCGCGCAAGACAGCCGACAGCCAGTGGTGCGCTGGAGACCATTTAATTGCTCTTGGAAAATGGTGAAGAGGTCAATACTGAAGATACAGAATGGAACTCCTCTTAGCTGGTCAGCTCGAGCGAATGCCGGCGTGGAAATTGAAAGGTTAAAGGTTACCTTCGAGAGAGTCCGTAATATCACAAGGCTGCGCCAAGGCAGACAGCCATCGAGGCTGTGCCACCAACTGTTTACCGATTAATTTCAGACCGTGATTGACTCTTGTTCTCGAATCAACATCCTTGGCTTGCATATTACCAGGGTTATTAGATATTTAGATAATTCATCGTCACTTATATTTCCACCACACCCCCGGGCCATCGGGCCATCCTGCAGGCAAAACTAGCCGCGCATCTTCGATACCAGGATCCTCATAGATCTGAAGGAAACCTTTCGACCTTGAATCTGGCGCTGGAATGCTGTCATTATTGAAATTTCAGTGCTGGTTTGTGTAGCTGCACACCCTTAGACTGCTCAGCCATCTTGCCATAGATGCCGAAAACTGCTGTGCTATGTGACGGTCAATCAAGCTGACTCTCGATATTACCGCAGTGGATTGCTTTGACTCTCGATATCAACGATAATGACAAGAAGAATCTCCACTGAGACTTGGCTTATGAGGCTCAGCCATTAGCTCGCTAGGTACACTATCGTTGTCTGGTGATTATTTATCGAGAAGCGAATACGAGCAGTGCATGGGACAATCTAGGAAGCAACTTACGAGTTTCCATCAGCGGCGTTAAGTTAAAACCTGCGGGTTGGCCAGCATGATGGAGTGGATGGGCTTATTCTAGGCATCGCCACGACCCTTACTCGATGCGGAAATGATTCTTGTGGTAGCGTGTACGACAATAAACTCAGCCTCCTTATATCTAGCAGGTATTACTCCTTGTACATGGTAGGCTTACTAGAGCACAGAATATAAGACCCTACGTTGACCATGATAATTCTGTTCTCAGCACCAAACACAAAAGTCTATAACCGATCATGAAGTTTCATATCCTGATATTCTTCCTCGTCACATTGACATATGCCTATCCGCATGTGTCCTCGTGTCGCTGCAGGCCATTTCAAAGCTGCTGGCCCTCCCCACCAGACTAGACAGCATTGAACCGCTCTATAGAGGGGAATCTTGTGACAGTGCGCCCAGCAGCAGCGGTCTGCCATTCCCCTGATGCGGACAAGGCGGCGTGTACGATTGTCACCGAGCAATGGACCAATTCGACCTGGCGCGCAGCACAGCCCGGAGCCGTGCAATGGGAAACCTTCGAGGCATGGCCGGAGCGGAACGAAAGCTGTTACATCGAGAACCTTCCAGGCATCCCCTGCGGCCAGGGACGCATTTCGCTGTACTCCGTGCTCGCCCAGTCTGCAGCGCATATCCAAGAAGCTGTTCGTTTCGCTAGCAAGCGAAATCTGCGGCTTGTCGTCAAGAACTCCGGCCACGATTTCCTTGGCCGTTCAGCAACTGCGGAGTCGCTCCAGATACTTACCCACCACATGAAGGGTACCAGGCTTGTGGATGACTTCGTCCCGGAGGGGGCCCCGAAGGATGGAGGTGAAGGCGCCGCCGTCACGATCGAAGCCGGTGTCAGTCTGCGTGAGTTGCATACTGCAGTCGGGGCACGGAACCGGGCCGTCGTAGCGGGGGCGGCGAACACTGTTGGTGCAGCTGGGGGATACGTGCAAGGAGGAGGACATTCGTTCTTGGGACCGTGGAAAGGCCTGGCGTCTGACAATGCTCTTGAATTCACGGTGGTGACCGCTGACGTATGGCCCGCCTATACCGTTTGTGCCTTAGGGACCTTTCTAACGGTATTGTCTAGGGCAATTTAGTGATGGCAAACAAGTACCAAAACAGTGACCTCTACTGGGCCCTGCGAGGCGGTGGGGGAGGCACGTTCGGCGTCGTAGTCAACGTCACTCTTCGGACGTTCGATGAGACGCCTGTCATCTTCACCACCTTCAACGTCACCACAATCAACGGAAACCCGAACTACTGGGAAGCCCTGACGCAGTTTCATGCAGCGGTGCCCGGTCTGAACGCCGCCAACGGTGCAGGATACTACTATATCACCCCGAACTTCCCTCTAGAAGGGAACCTCAGCGCGTCGGCGCTGACAGGGTACCTCGTCTTCCCTAATCAGACTGACCCAGCAAAGGCCCAAGAGCTCTTCAACCCGTTGTTTTCGAAACTGAACATCCTGGCCGGCGTTAGAGTGGAGTATACATCCGTTCCGTTCCCCAGCATCCGCGTCTTCCTCGAAAACATATTACTCCGTGATGACAAGGATGCAACTGGTACAATCAGGCTACTTGGATCGCGACTCGTCTCCCGCAACCTGCTCTGCTCTACCCAAGGCGCCTCCAGGCTAGTCTCCACGCTACGGAGCTTCGAATTCTACCCCGGCCGTACAGTGTTCGGGCACATCGTGGCCGGGGGCGCCGTCGCAGCCAACGGGCAGACCATCGACTCGGCCGTACACCCGGCGTGGCGAAAGACGGCGGTCCATATGTTCATCGAACGGGAATGGAATGCAACCGCGACGCTCGCCGAGCAGGACGCTGTCCGGAAAAATCTGACTAACGTGGAGGTGCCGCTTCTGCGGTCCGTAGAAGGCCCGCAGGCGATGGGAGCGTATCTAAACGAGGCGAATGCCTACGAGACAGATTTCCAGGCTTCGTTCTGGGGAGAGAATTATCCGCGTCTGTATAAGATCAAGCAGAAGTGGGATCCGACGGGTCTGTTCATCGTCAGACGTGGAGTCGGGAGTGAAGATTGGGACGAGGAGGGGTTTTGTCGGTGTACTTAATCGTATTATCTGCGGTTTGGTTCCAAACAAGTACACAGATATGGATGTTCACCCGGAGCTGTCGTGACGGGTAGCTTGATTCGCGTTGGGCTACAGTCAGGAGAGACCTCGAAGATAAAGTTTCTGGTACCTATTCCCAACAATATAAGGAAGTGATAAATGACTGTCCAACAATACTATTCTAACCGGTCATTTTAATAGGCGTGTTGAATGAAGTATTACAGCATTCTGATCTCTACCATGTACTGTCGCGCTTGAGGCTCCTACGCACGAAACGATCGTTCGACTATCTGTATCATAGGAAAGACCACGGTTTCTGCGAGCTCTAACTCACTTAGGAACCACAAGATCATACGAAAATCCCTGTCCTAAGAAATGTCACGAGTCTTCCTATGAACCAAGCCCCCATCAGACTGCTGGTATCCTAAGAAGCACTACGATTTTTGTCCACTTTGATAATCTCAGGAATCAAAAGTTCCTGGGATGATATCTTTCCCAAGATTTACCACGATTTCCCCAGCTTCTATGAATTTCTTCCACCTTGATAATCTCACGAATCAAGGACCATGAGATAATATCTATCCCAAGATTTACCGCTATTTCCGCACTCGAAATGATTTGCTAAATTAAATGCAGAAATTTGCTCATATAAAATACGACGACCTTATGAATTGAAATTAGTATATGATCGGTTGTATGTAGCTGTTGCAGGGTAAATAAGGAAATGTCTGTGTTTCGTTGCTTATTTAGCGGCTTGTTTTCTCTTAGAAAATACAGAAATCAACATGTTAGTTTCCTTGCTCTAGTTCATCTTAAGTTCCTTAGAAATAAATTCTACTTCTTTAGCAGCTACCTCTCGGGGAAACCGGATATATGGCTTGAGGCATACGGCTCCTAGAGAGAGCTGTAAAAAGTTACGCTAGTTATTGTTAAACCGGGTTCGAGATATCCGAGAATAAAACTCACTTTCAGCAGTTGACTGGCAGACTGTGATTTGGTAGACTCGACAAAATCCATAGCTTTAGGTCCCCAATCAGACACGAGAGAGCTAACCTTCCGTAAGAATGTACTTGGCTGAAGACATTTAATGATTATCTTGCTAATAGACTCAACGCTACTGTGTGAGTCCCTAATATCTTTATTTTGAAGAATTGAGCTTCCTAGCTTTCCTAGTTCAATTAGTATTTGTTTCGTTTTTCTTATGATGCCTAATATACCTATCTTAACGGCAATCGTCACTAAGAGAATAATAGAGCTCGACGACACATCTCTACGCATTATCTTGAGGCGTTTGTGAATATGCTCTATTCCTATCAAGATTTCTTGTGAAAAGGCTGCCACTTTAAAAAGCTGAAGGCGACCGAGTGGTGAGTTGAAGATTTGACCTAATGAAACATCCATGATCTCATATACCAGAAATATGGTACCTTCGTAATACATTGCCTCTTGAAGATCAATCAAGTTTCTATGATGGCCTGTCATTACTCTTGATAGCTCAGTTTTGGTGGATTTCACCTCTTTAATAATACTCTCCGAGAATGTGTTGTTGTTTGCATGAAAAACCCCACCCGCTTCCTGCCTGGTTGATCTTGAAGCTCTTTCTGTATCGGCCCTAGGAATTGCAAGTTGTTTTTGACAAGGCTGTGAACGCACCCTGACGCTGCTTCTGGGGCTTTTGTGCGCCCTGTTTGGTTCCTTGGACGGTCGATTCAGGTTCAGCTATAGGCCGCTTCAGACTAGCGTCGCACCTTGGGAAAACAGAGACACGATTGTGGGGAGATTTGTGACGGCATTCTCCTAATATTTCTGCTGAAAATTTGTGTCGAAAGAAAGACAAGGGAAATGGCGCGGCTTTATCATGACAGGCGAGGAATGTTCGACGTCAAAACCGTGGTTTTGCCTCACTTTCCAAGCGGTCTAATATCCTTTAAATAGATGTCGTCACCTTCCAAAGTCCACAATAGTCCTTTCAACTAAATTTGTTCGCTCACATGGATCCTTTCTCACGAAGCTTCCGTTCACCTGCTTCAAGAGCTACAAGTATCTGCTTCTTCCATCCGACCTAAGTAAGAGGTAAGCAATTATTTAGACGAAAGTAAAGGTAAGGTAAGGGTAAAATAAGAGGGAAATAAATAAAAAACAGACCTTTTTCTTCCTTAGTTGACGGATTGAACGTTCGAGATGTTTAAATAGCTTATTGTAGAGCTTAAACACTTGGTGAATAGTGACATCCTTGGTCTTTGAGAACGTCGTGGTATACAAAAAGAATGGCTTTGTTAAACAGAGAAGGTAGTCGAGCTGGCGCCATTTATCCGAATCAAGCTGAAGGTTATTCAAGGACTCTAGACGCCAATACCTATCGAAATAGGACTGAAGCCTTTTTGCCCTTTATAACATCAGATACGTAGAGTTCCACCGCGTCCGAACGTCCTGAATTGGGACTAATGGGTTGCTAAATCCTCGTTTCGAAGCTTAAGAAACTCCTCTCGTCTTTGGGGGCTTGCATTGATATTGATCGCAATCATACGTACCTTAGCTAAGGTGTTTGCAATATCTCCCTTCTGACCTCGCTGAGTGGAAAGCTTCTGTAGCTCATCAGTCCAAATCATGTCCACGGTATCATTCTTAGGCTTTCCTTTGATCCCAATTAAGAGCTTATTGAGGCTAAGCTGAATATGCGCCATATATGGAATATGGACTAAAGGAAGGTTCGGATGGTCCTTACGGACCTTATCAACCATAGTCTTATTGTTTGACGCATTATCCGTGGTGATAGCCATGATCTTGTCCGATATTCCATGTCTCGCAATAACCGACAAGAGGGCTAATGCAAGGTTTTCTCCGGCATACTGGCCCTCTGGTGGTTCGAACCCAAGCAATAGCCGCCTATACTCCCAATAGTCATCAAGAAAATAGCCAGTTACCGCTATAAATGCCTGCTTAAAAGGTGGCGTCCAGCAATCAAGAGCTATCGAGAGCTTTGTATCGGAAGGAAGTATCTGAAGTATGCCTTTCTGCTGAACTGCGACGGTGTTTTGGAGCTGACGCGCTAAGGTAACGGCCGTTTGAAACTTGGGGGGAGAAGGGGCTTGTTGCATAAGACGTAGGTGATCTCGAAAGTGTTGATTTCAACAATCTGAAAGAGTAGCCGTAGGCTAGTAACTGTGACTAAAACCTGCTTCTTCCACTCCTCTCCATCCCATAGAGGTTCGTCTGCGCCGTCTAGCGGAGGTGCTTATATAGCCTAGAAATTAGAGGAAAGGCTATTAGCTCTATTTTACTTTTCTTTCAATTTTCCCTTCTTTTGTTCTTACTTGAATATTGGTAAGCACCTTGATATTTCCTTGTCTCTCCTTGCCCTTTGGTTGACATCTTTCCGAATGCCTTGTCATAGCATTCGTCCCATTCTTGATAGAGGGGTAAGCATATTACCACAATCCTTACAGTAAACAACTAGTTGACCAGTGGCAATCTCTGCACCTTGCTCAAAATGTTTCCAAGCTCCAGATGTCAAGCCCCTTTTATCCCAGCGAGGATGCTATGCCTGGGGCTTCCCTCCATAGGTGGTTGTAAGCCACCATTCGATGAAATTGGCCTTATTCATATTAGACCAAAGGATATACTTATTTCCAAGTCCAACGCGTTCAAGAGAAGGTGGAGATGGTTCGCGAATAGTAGGCGCGGTAGATTGGCTCCCGGGGCCTTCGGAGGATGGGATATAGAAACAATCGGATAGACGAGGTTCAATACTATCGCTATTGATAGATGGGGCGAAAGATGAGGGGTATGCCATAGTGACGCAAAAACTGGCACGAATGTAAGTCGTCTTTGATTGGACTCTGATGGCGAATGTCGAATAGACCCCGCTCTTCGCAGTACCCCCTTTTAAACGCCAACGTTCATGCTTTACTAGATTCATCTGGTCCGCCAGCCCATTCACCACGTCGAAAGTACTACAATTTATACTTCGGGGCAAGAATAGTACTATACGCATAGACATTACCCGCTTCGGGCTTATCTGTCTTTGTATTTTCTACGAAATTAACACACTTCATCTTCATCTTTTCCTATTCTCATTTCAAAATGGTATGATCTGTTACATCTTGTGCTTGAATTATGCTGATCTTGCAAGTCGGGTTCATCTTTCACTTCGATCCCTGTTCTGGATTTCTCTCAGGTGCTGTCACCATCTAAACCCACCTTCCTAGCAAGCCTTCGCGAGGCCCTTGTGAACGTTGGCTTTTTCTATCTTCAAAATGCTCCGATTTCGGCCCAAACCCAAGAGCAATTTATAGAAAAGGCCCTAGGTCTTTTTGAACTACCACTAGAGAAGAAGGTTGAAATCGAGATGGTCAATAGTCCGCATTTTTTGGGCTACTCAAGGCTTGGTGCTGAAATTACGGCTTTGAAACCTGATCATCGTGAACAATTCGATGTAAGTTTGGGCTGTATTGTCTATTGGGATATGCTAACACCCTTGTCAGTTTGCAACCGAACTCCCTGCACCTGGTCCAAACGAGCCTTTGTATAGGAATGTGGTTGGTCCTAACCAGGTGAGATCTTATAGTCTTGTCTTTTGTTACTGTCAATGCTTATAAAGAATCCCCCTGTTAGTGGCCAGATGAAACAGCAATCCCCGGGTTTCGTGAAGCATTCGACACATATCTGTCGGAAGTAAGCAGCTTAGCAGAGTTGTTCCCAGGGTTGATTGCAGAGGCATTAGGCCTCCCATCAACTGCATTCGATCAGGTCTTTGATACCCCGCAGCAACATAAACTGAAGTTGATCAAGTACCCTCCCCCACCTGAAGCTAGCAATGAGTCCGGATTTCAAGGTGTGGGTCCTCATAAAGATTCCGGATTCCTCACGTTCCTTTTGCAGGGTACGCCTCACCATGGCCTCGAGGTCCAAAATAAGGCCGGGACATGGATTCCTGCACCGCCACTTCCAGGAACATTGGTCATTAACATCGGCCGCTCCTTGGAGGCGCTGACTGGGGGGATCTGCACGGCAACCACTCACCGCGTAAGCTTACGGCCGGAGAACTTCCAAGACAGTGGGAGGTCTCTAGGACCTAGGTTTTCCTTCCCAGTTTTCCAGGGAGTTAGTCTCGATCTTTCTGCCGATAAGGTCTCTTTGAAGATCCCAGATCATATCCTTGCCTTGGTGAAAAATGACAAGGTCAAATCAGATGCAGAGGCAACTTTTAACAAAATATTCCATGGGAGCATTGGCGAGGGAACCTTCATTGCTCGGGTGACCAGTCATCAAGATGTTGGGCAGCGATGGTATCCGGAAATCTTAGCGAAAGCATTGAAGGGTCAGAAGGATTTTCTTAAATGTTGATATATTAATATCGGTGGATATCTCTTGGATGTGAGATTATTGCATATCCCTACGGGATTCAGATCAGCGTTGTATAGGAGAGTTGCATGGCAGTGGGGGGTAAGCACATATGTACATAACTACATGCATGTATGTGTGATTGGTTTTGCGTTTTGAATGTAAGACACTCTGCATGTACAAATCTCGTATTTTATCCTTCATCTTAATCCCTTTCTTTTGTTTTAACAGCAATTTCTCATATTATCTACCATGCGCGGGATCAAATCGCTGCTCTGGCTTCCCGCAGTAACAGTGGCCCAGTCCACCGAGGGCATCTCCAATCTTGTTAAACGGCGACTGCCAGACCATGTTAATGACTTCCATTTTACATTGGATGCTAATCTGTCGGGAGACTATGATTCTTATGTTGTGACCAACGCTCTAAATGGGACGATTTCGGTCAAGGGGACCTCAGTAAGCGCGTTATCTTCAGGGTAAGCACGATGTTCTTTGTATATTTATATCGCTAAATTGTGTCCCCAGTTTACATCGATATCTCACCGATGTCGCCCATGTCGACATCTACTGGTTTATTGGCAGTCGGCTGGATGTCGCGCCATCCAAGTTGCCCCACCTGACCACGCCAATCCAAGGCTCCAGTACAGTCCCTTGGCGGTATCATTTCAACACAGGTACGACACATATGTAAAAGTAGTATTTCGTTCTTGCTAACTGGACTTAGTAACCTTCTCCTACACCACTGCTTTCTGGACATGGGAGGATTGGGAGTCACAGCTAGACTGGATGGCCCTACGCGGTGTGAATCTACCCCTTGCTTGGGTTGGCCAAGAGAAGATTATTCTCGAAGTATTCCGAGAAATTGGCCTTAACGATGCCGAGATTACTACTTTCTTCAGTGGTCCAGCCTTCCAGGCCTGGAATCGGTTTGGCAATATCCAGGGCTCCTGGCACGGTGATCTTCCAGAGACATGGATCGATCTACAATTTGATCTGCAGAAAAAGATCATTCATCGCATGGTAGAACTTGGAATGACTCCTGTATTACCATCGTTCACTGGGTTTGTTCCGGCCAATATATCTCGTGTTTTGCCAAATGCCAACGTGGTTCGCGGATCACAATGGGGCGGTTTTCCCCTTCAATACACAAACGACACATTCCTTGAGCCATTCGATGATAATTTCGCAAAGCTCCAAGCTAGTTTCATCAGCAAACAACAAGATGCATACGGTAATATCAGTCACATCTACACCCTCGATCAGTACAACGAGAACGACCCTTACTCGGGTGACATGGACTATTTGCGCAATGTCACTCGCGACACATGGCGCAGCTTGAAACAGGCGGATCCTCATGCAATATGGATGATGCAAGGCTGGCTTTTCTATGCCAACTCCAAGTTTTGGACTGATGAGCGAGTGGAAGCCTATCTGTCTGGTGTAGACTCAAACGAGGATATGTTGATCTTGGATCTTTTCTCGGAGTCTATTCCACAGTGGCGCCGAACCAACAGTTATTATGGAAAACCCTGGATCTGGTGCCAGTTGCACAACTTCGGAGGGAACATGGGCCTATATGGGCAGATCCAAAACCTGACCCAAAATGCTACCGAAGCGCGAATTGAGTCTCCGTCCATGGTCGGATACGGTCTCAGCATGGAAGGTCAAGAAGGAAACGAAATTGTGTACGACTTACTTCTAGATCAGGCGTGGTTTCAGACCCCATTGGACACACAGCGGTACTTTCACAATTGGGTGACGAGCCGATATTCTGGCCAGAAACGTATCCCGAATGGGCTCTACGTGGCCTGGGATTTAATGCGACAGACAGTGTATAACAACACAAACCTCACAACTCCAGCTGTAGCCAAGTCCATCGTTGATATGGAACCTAAGCTTTGGAGTTTGGTCGATAGCGTCGGCACACACGGCACAACTGTCAATTACGATCCAGCTGGACTGGTGCAGGCGTGGCAGTTGATGTACCAGGCAACCAAAGAAGAACCCAGATTATGGTCCAATCCAGCTTATCAACATGACATGGTTGATGTGACTCGCCAAGTCATGGATAACGCTTTTATTCCGTTGTACTCGGATCTAATCGAGTCTTACAACAACTCTCGTTCTACACGGGACACATTTGCGCAACAGGGGGAGAAGCTCCTCCAAATCTTGACAGATATGGATTCCATCCTTCTCACCAATCGAAATTTCCGACTTTCGACCTGGATCGATTCGGCACGGGCCTGGGCCAACGGTAACAAGACCGAGATGGCATTCTTGGAATATAACGCACGCAATCAGATCACTCTGTGGGGACCAAATGGGGAGATCAGCGGTTACGCTTCCAAGCAATGGGGTGGGCTTGTTTCCTCATACTATGTGCCCCGCTGGCGTATGTTCGTTGAGTACCTGAAGTCAACACCAACCGGATCATACAATGCCACTGAAATACACGCAATGATACGAGATTTCGAGCTGCGGTGGCAAGATGAGACCTGGTATGCTCCCGAGCCTACTGCGGATATGGAGTTAGCCAAGGTATTGACCAGAGTCACTCGCCAATGGCCATCTGTTTTTGGGCTGGAGTAGACATCGTCGTCGCTTATGGTGAGCCTCGCTTTCGCAATCAGAAGCTTGCGTGAGTTCTGGATATAGGGATCTATTTGTATCTTGCCTGCATAGTATCCATGGATAGTTGCTATATCCCAACAAATCAATTCACCAATGCCCGAGTCCGCATCTCACAGGTTGCCGCCGCAGCGCGATCTAGTGCGTGAGTTGCTCGGCAGACAGTCTCTCCTTATGAATCTGGCCGGCCCAGGGCATATTGTAGCAAGTCAAGGCAATGCTGTATAGGTGGGATTCCTGGGAGGTAGTGTTATGGCATGGGCTGGGATTGGGTGGACCTCCGAAGACCAGTGAGGGAAATGGGATTGGCATATTGAGCAAGAGTGAGAGTGAGAGTGAGTTAGTTTCTCAGCAGTAAGTTTAATTCCTTGAAATAGATATTTTGTCATTCGCAAAGTGAAGGAAATGGAAGAAGTTCAAATGAAGGTAAATGCCCAAATGTCTTGGCGCATCTCCAATTAACTTCTCCGCCTTCCTCTCTTCCTCTCTTCTTCTCTCCAAAACATCCAACATGCCACGCGCCGTCCGAGGTCAGCTTTCTCTTTTATTATTTCCATCTATTGCTAATGTTTTGTATCCTTGGCAGGTCTGCTGATCGAATGCGATCCCTCAATCAAATCCATGATCCTGAAGTACGACGAAGAGCGACATGACTACATAGTGGAGGATTTGGATGACGAGAACCACCTGGTCATCAAGGAGAGCCAGCTTCAGAACCTCAAGGTTCGCCTGGATCAGGTACCTACTGCACCCTGGCTATTTGAGGCCATTACTCACAGATTTGGCAGGACCTCGACGAAAAGATCATGCAACTGGACGAATCTGAATCCGAATAGGGCTATAACAAGCTATTTTGCATTGAACACGAGACCTACATACGAAACGCAAAGCCAACCGGTCCCCATATACAAGTCCATAACACACTCGCAGACCACTGCCATGAATGTGCCTATCTCCCACCGCTTGTTACAAAAGTTCGCATCATGGTTTCACCAGTATTCAGTGGCTGAACCCAGTCCGACCACCTCTCAATACTTCACATTCCTATAATGAGCACTTACGTCATTTTGTGAGGAGAACAGGACTGCTCTCAGACAGTGGAAGGGAGGTTGGAGACTGTTCAACCCATCCAGTCTTTGATCATCGCAATATTTGTATCCCAACTCCGGGCTGTGCTGGCTAGTAGTACCCCAATGAATGAGAGGCATATGACGTGATCGAATGTCGACGAAGCACCTGGGCACATCCATCATCCAAACGTGCCGGAAAAGCCCTTACCCCGGCAGGGATAACCATGGACCGCGTCCTTGAGTAGCTACCTAGGTACCTAAGTGCGAACACACTTGATGACATGTGCATTACGCTACACACCCGTGGGCACATACAATGTCGCCAGTCAATTACGCTTATTGCATAAGGCAACAGTCACGAGCATCGACTAGATGTTAACGACGGGTTAGAACATGCTGGAAGCAGCGACTGTCTTCATGTTCACTTTCTGTGTAACAGCACCTGGTTTCGGGTGTGTCTATATAAGTCCTTCGTGGACTCCTCGGGTGTCCAGCTTCCATCTCATCGGACATAGCCTGCGATTCTCAGCTTCAATATAAAATCACTTCAAGTCACCTAAATTCCTACTTACTTCCTACTTACAACATGTCTCTCCTCCGTACCAGCTTCCCCAGCTCCGGCGACTTCGCTCCTCTCTTCCGTCTTCTTGACGACTACGATAACCACCGCTCTGCCCGCAACCAGTCCGCGACTCGCTCGTTCTCTCCTCGCTTTGACATCCGTGAGAGTGAAGAGGCATACCATTTCGATGGTGAACTGCCTGGCATCGATCAAAAGGACATCGATATTGAGTTCTCCGACCCCCAGACTCTGGTTATCAAGGGCCGCAGTGAACGCGAGTACCACACTGAGCCACCAGCCGAGGCCAAGGAAGGCGAAACCAGGCCCACTCACCGGTTCTGGGCCAGCGAGCGCTCGGTCGGCGAGTTCCAGCGCATCTTCTCCTTCCCGGCTGCTGTCGACCAGCAAAATGTCAAGGCCAGTTTGAAGCACGGTATCCTGTCCATCAAGGTGCCCAAGGCCACTACCGCTACTTCCAAGAAGATCACCATTGAGTAGACGGTCATTCCATGAAGTATTCTTTTGACAATCTTATTGCATGGAAATTGGACTTATTAGTTCTTGAGTACCTTTCCTGCTTTCTACGTGTTAATCTATCTTAATTCAAGTGCCATATTGTATCCCTAATTCTTCTTGGATATATCTCATGATCTCGGGCCTCGGCACATGCAATCCCTAGTTGATACGCAAAATAGAATATTGAGCGTTAAAACATTTTAGAAAATGTGACTAGCCCTGGAATTACATTTAAATTTTAAACAGGATCTAAGGCATTTAAGGTACGTGTGTATTTAATCCAAAGCATTCAAGGCATTCAGAGTTGACATTAGATGTTTCCCATGTTGTGAGTTAAGTGCCGAGGTCCCCCGTGTAATAACAGCCCTTCTTATACTCCCTCTCTCTCTCTTTCTCTCTCAACCCCCAAAACAATTCATCTCTCTTAAAACATGGAGAACTACTCCTTCGAATATTTTACCGTCCAATTTCCCACCGGTCATCAATATGTGGCCCATGTGGAAATCAATCGCCCGGAAAGGTTGAACGCCTTCATCGAAGTGTGAGCGCTGACTTCCAGAATTTGATCTTATATGTCCTAATCAAATTTAGTATGTGGGAAAACATGGCCCAGATCTTCAACAAGCTTTCCTCGGATCCTCAAGTTCGCGCAATCGTCCTCAGTGGTGCTGGAGCGAAGGCATTCACCGCCGGGCTGGATGTTAAAGCGGCCTCGGAAGGTCTTCTGTCGTCAGACTCAGACGCCAAGACCGACCCAGCTCGAAAGGCGGCCGTGTTTCGTCGCCATATCAGCGCCTTCCAGGACTGTATCACCGCGGTAGAGCGCTGTGAAAAGCCCGTTGTGGTTGCTCTACACGGGTTCTCATTAGGACTCGGCATTGACCTGTCAACGGCGACGGACGTGCGTCTCTGTGCTCGGGATACCCTGTTCGCGGTCAAGGAAGTCGATATAGGGCTCGCGGCAGACATCGGTACCCTCAGCCGACTCCCCAAGGTGGTCGGAAATTACGGGTGGGTGAAAGAGGTGGCTCTGACAGCGCGCGAGTTCGGCGCTGAGGAGGCGCTGCGTGTGGGATTTGTTAATGCGGTGTATGATAACCGTGAAGCCACTATTGTGGCTGCACTTAAGCTCGCCTCCCTGATGGCCAGCAAGAGCCCCGTGGCCGTGCAAGGCACCAAGGAGATCTTGAACTTCTCACGCGACCACTCTGTGCAAGATGGACTGCGTTATACGAGCGTATGGAATAGCGCTGCTTTGCAGACGCAGGATATCTCGGCAGCTCTGCTGTCTGGACTGCAAAGGCGTACTCCAACATTCGAGAAGTTGTGATGGCAAATCCACTATTTCCCCTGTATATATGGTCAATGTATCTAGTCTGCTAATATCCTGAACATCCAATGTAATCATACTTTTCACTGAAACTCCCATGCACTTGCCAAGGAATGTCAGCATCGTCAGCATCGTCACATCCATTTGACCGTGCTATTTACGGAGTATCTCGTGCATATGAACTGTTTTAGGATAAATTCCCGGTGTTTTACCCCAAAGGCTTATTATTTCGAGTCCGTGTCCTATTCGGATCTTTTATTTTGATGGCTTTCCATGAATCAGAAGGCATCGACGACCAACGCGTCTCCACATTTCCTCTACGTCTCCTCTTCTCCGTGAAACTCGAGAGCTACGCAATATTGGCCGTCTATCCCCGCTGAGGATGTCACTTTTTCCACGTATCCAAGCTGTTGCTTAACATGGCTTGAAAATGTATAAGTTTCAAGAAACTACCCATTCCCAGAATATTCACTAAGCCTTCCCACTAAAAACTTGCTGTATATTCCTCTCGCCATGAAATCTGCTATTCTTCTCTCCGCACTCATTCCTAGTGCGGTGAGTGCGACACTCTACCTTGCTGGAGACTCCACTATGGCAAAGGGTGCGAGTGGATCTAGCACGACGGGTATGTGAGTTCTCCTTCGGTCTCCAGCATAGCATGCTAATAGTCCCAGGTTGGGGTGAATATGTTACGCCCTACACCTCACTCACCGTGTCCAACAAAGCTATCGGCGGCCGTAGCGCACGGTCATACACGCGTGAGGGTCGGTTTGATGCCATTGCAGAAGTGGTTCAATCTGGAGATTGGGTGATCATCGAGTTCGGCCACAACGACGGTGGCTCTTTGACTCCCACCGATAATGGGCGTACCGATTGTTCTGGCACAGGAAGCGAGACCTGTAGCACAGTCTACAACGGGGTCGCCGAGACAGTGTTGACGTTCCCGGCATATATAGAGAATGCCACCAAGATGTTCAAGGCCAAGGGCGCGAATGTGATCATCTCGAGTCAAACACCCAACAACCCCTGGGAAACTGGAACCTTCAGCTATTCCCCGTCGCGGTTTGTGGGCTATGCGCAGGTGGCAGCCGAAGCCGCCGGCGTGCCCTATGTTGATCACGGGGCTTATGTGGCAGACCAGTTCAAGACGCTGGGCCAAACTGCTGTCGATGCGTACTTCCCCTCGGATCACACGCACACCAGTGCTGCCGGTGCATCAGTGGTGGCTAAGGCCTTTTTCAAGGCTGTGGTTTGTGGGGATGTTGCGCTGAAGAGTGCTCTGAGCACCACCTCTTTCCCTGGTTCGTGTCTCTAAATGAACATCAGATTAGCAAGTAGGGACCTATGCAATTCTGAGCTTATTGTGTGACTATAATTCTGCTGCCTGTAGAGCGAGATAACAGAAGATTAGGCGGCTTCAGCGGAACAACTATATCCGAGATGAATTGTAGACTGGGCTTAAACCAAGTCTGGCTCATGGCCAGGTAAACTCGTAAGGTTTCGTAATATGTCCATAGCTAAGCTTGCAAGACATCAACACTGAAATGCAAAAGCTGCCGTTGAAAAGGCTTCATTGTGGGCATAAAATCTTAGTTCGATTTCATTCCTCCAGAATAGACCGAACGATGCCCCGATTCTCGACTCGGTGATAATATTGATTCACGCTCACGAACCGAGCATTAAAGGCGCCCTGGGTCTGTACAATCTCCCGCAGAACTGGCCATAGAGAGCAATCGTCGATGGTAAAAACGGAGCCTCCTAGGTAATGTTGTCCCTGCAGAGTACTCTCCCAATCCTCAATCCCGTATTCAAACCCACTGGCTGAATCGGTGGCGCAGTGCTGGCGCCAGTGTCCCAGAAACTGGTCAATCGCCGACAAGAAATTGCCCCCACGTAACGAATCCACACCTGGCCGTAAGGTCCCAGCAGATCGGTTAGCCATGTGCGCTAGGATAATGGAGTCGCCCGCGATTGTTGCTCCATCGGGCGTTTCATATATTGGCAGTGTCTTTTGGTGACTATCTCTAGCTCCCAGTTGCTCATGGTCGGTGACCAATCGATACCGGATGCCGCTTTCCCCCAGACAGAGACGCACACGCAAATTGGCCACGGAATCAGAGCCAAGCACTAGCTGCCCTGTTGATGTAGTCACAAAGTTGACCACGTCAAAGCCCCCACCGTACACGGCATCCCAATCGAATTCGGTAGCACGATTTTCCTGGCCAAAAGCACCAATGAGGCGTGCTGTTTCAGCAGAATCCCCATGGACCACAGCGCGGGCCTGGTCCAATGTCTTACTGACAGCCCCTTGTCCCCAAATTGTGTTGGCCACAGGGTCGATGAAAGTGCCAATATGACGGAACGTAAGAGAAATGCGCTGACCGCCGTAGGCTTGCTCCTCGGTAGATTTAGTTACAGTCGGCCGTTTGTCGGCCCGGATGCCATGAAGCCATCGCATGTTCGTCTTTGGGCCGAGCACAAAAAGTGACTTGTGAGGAAGAGGCACGCGCTGCGTTGTCCGACATGGTTCAATCCCTCCCTCGGGATCAGATGCCGAGGCCTTGGTACGGAGGACCATCACGCGCTCGGCACCTAGACTGACATTGCAAATGAAAGACCCTCGCACAATATCCAGCGTCTTATCTGAGTGCTCTGATATGCGATCCTGTCCATCACGATAAAGCTGAATAAGCACATGATTCAAGGGGTGCCCAAGTATTTGCTCAACAACCATTCGCACTTCATCAACCGCGGAGGTGAATGGCTTGAAGGGTGGAGACTCGTCTGCCGGATGACGATATATGGGGATGGCTCCATCGGGTCGAGGTTGGCCCTGGACTGCAACCAATCGGGGAACCTGACCCGACAGATGGTACATCTTCTGCCAATCCACTTCCGCCTTTATGCGTTCGAAGGAGTCCGTGGCCAAGTTGACATTTTCCACCAGGCGCGAGTCGCCCTCCCCAATGTTGGTTTGGGATGTATTTGGTATTTCTGTGGATTGCAAAGGTGTTTCTCTCCCGTCGTGGTCGGCACGAGGTCCGGTTGAGGGTTCTTTTGGGGCATCTCGGCGCTTCGGACGACGGACGCGCACACGCACCTTCTTTTGGTCTTCCACTGGAGCCCGCGTCGGCGCAGCAGTAGCGCGCTGCGCGTGAGAAGGACTAGCGGTTTCCGAGATGCTCGGGTCCTCTGGATCAAGCGAGTCATCTATGTGAGAGGTGTCTGCGGTATTCCAGAATTCGAGACCGTCCATGACGCTCTCGAGGCCAGCTGTAGCTGCTGACCTCTTAGGTTGCGTTGCGCCTTGGCGGGCAATTGCCTCAGTCTCATCCCAATCTAGCTCCTGGATGAGCTCCCCAGCGGTGATACCAGTGGCCCCCAATATATCCGCCATACGTCGCATTGCTTCTTGATGCCGCTGAAAATCGCGGAAACCCAAGCAATCCTCCACCAGAGTCACTGAAAACCCGTTGCGGACCGCATCCAAAGCGGTCGCAAACACAGAGACATTGGACAACGAGCCACAAAGGTACAACTCGGTCACAAAGCGTGTCCTGAAGGATAGCACCAAGCCGGGGGACTCCAGGGCGGAGTATCCTGTTTTCTCCACCACGGTGTCATGCTGAGTATTGATGGCGGCCAGAATCGGTGCGGGGAATTGATATCCGGGGGTATGCGGGTCACAACATAGCGAAGAGTCGGCGGATAGAAAGGCTTCTGGGTCGACAGGTTCTGGTGAATCATGGTCCGACCCGACTTCAATTATATCTGAAGTGGGCATCTCCTTTCCGCGCGGGGGCTCTCTGTCCAGGACAATACGATCACCAAAGTTCCAGTCGGAGATGGTCTGAGGAGATTCATATTGTGAGCGCACCCAAACTACATCGCCGGCTCGACGGAATGCAGATGCCAGCTGTGGAAGGGTTTCGAGGATATCCGGTGTATTAGGAATATGTAAAGCTCCGGACGGACGGACAAAGTCATTTTGAAAGTCAAGTAGTAGCAAGGCCTTCCGAGTCTGGACGGTGGGCAAATCCCCGAATGAGAAGACACTCATTGTATAGACATGGTACGATCAAAGACTAGAAAGAGGAAGTAATTGGACCAACCAAACAATATCAGTGGGTAATGAGGGAACGTGGGGGAAAAGAGACATCGAAGGCCTGAGGCAGAAATAGTACTTTTTGGGGAAGGAACGATCGTCAAGAGAAGTCAAGGCAGGTACGAAAGTAATCACGTGAATCAATAAGTCTGCCCAGGTAGACCCTGACTTTGATATTCTGAATATCGGAGATTGCCCCTATGTTGTACTCCGGGGAAATATCCTATGAGATGAGCCATAAAACGACCTTGGAATGAGCCTATCTACGGAGTCCCAGAGCACATGGATGTGCTTGTCGCTGGGAAACGCAATTCATGACATAATATATTACTTCCCTCCAATCAATACAGCGGCCGGTGTCGGTGTGGGGTCTCCGGGGAGTAAGGTCTGCTCTCCGGGAATTGCTACGGTGACTCGAATCGCCCAGCATATTCGCCCATTATTTAAATTCCCAAGCTTCCCCAGTAAACTCCTTTTTTTTCTCCATTCACTCTCCACTCTCCTCTCTTCCATATCTTCACAATGGCTTCCCGTGGTCTTCCCCGTGCCCTCCGCCTCGCCCGCGTGGCTGCTCCTCGCTCGGTCGTCACCGCAGCCCTCCCTCGCCCTGCCGTAGCTGCCGCTGCCGCTCTCCCCCGTGTCTCCTCGGTCGTTACCCCCGTCCGTGGTATCAAGACCATTGACTTCGCCGGCGTCAAGGAGGATGTCTACGAGCGTGCCGATTGGCCCCGTGAGAAGCTCCAGGAGTTCTTCAAGAACGACACCCTTGCCCTCATCGGTTACGGCTCCCAGGGTCACGGCCAGGGTCTGAACCTGCGTGACCAGGGTCTCAACGTTATTGTCGGTGTCCGCAAGGATGGCGCCTCATGGAAGGAGGCCATTCAGGACGGCTGGGTCCCCGGCAAGAACCTGTTTGATGTCACCACCGCCATTGAGAAGGGTACCGTTATCATGAACCTGCTCTCCGATGCCGCTCAGTCCGAGACCTGGCCCACTATCAAGCCCCTCCTCACCAAGGGCAAGACTCTCTACTTCTCCCACGGTTTCTCCCCCGTCTTCAAGGACCTCACCAAGGTCGATGTCCCCAAGGACATTGATGTCATCCTCGTTGCCCCCAAGGGTTCCGGTCGTACCGTCCGCACTCTCTTCCGTGAGGGCCGTGGTATCAACTCCTCCATCGCCGTCTTCCAGGACGTCACCGGCCAGGCCAAGGAGCGCGCCATCGCCATGGGTGTCGCTGTCGGCTCCGGCTACCTTTACGAGACCACCTTTGAGAAGGAGGTCTACTCCGACCTCTACGGCGAGCGTGGCTGCCTGATGGGCGGTATCCACGGTATGTTCCTCGCCCAGTACGAGGTTCTCCGTGAGCGCGGCCACAGCCCCTCCGAGGCCTTCAACGAGACCGTTGAGGAAGCCACCCAGTCCCTGTACCCCCTGATCGGTGGTAACGGTATGGACTGGATGTACGCTGCCTGCTCCACCACTGCCCGTCGCGGTGCCATCGACTGGTCCAGCCGCTTCAAGGACACCCTGAAGCCCGTCTTCAACGACCTCTACGACAGCGTCCACAACGGCACTGAGACCCAGCGCTCCCTCGACTACAACTCGCAGCCCGACTACCGCGAGAAGTACGAGAAGGAGATGCAGGAGATCCGCGATCTCGAGATCTGGCGCGCTGGAAAGGCCGTCCGCTCTCTCCGCCCCGAGAACCAGAAATAAATAATCCTTGATACCCGTGGGGGTTCAAAAAATGATGATGTACTATGAACTGTTCTTTTTGGGTTTCAGGTCGAAAATATTATTTTGAGGCTATACAGGCCATTCCCTAGTTACTTCTTTTCCCCAGTTTTCTCGTAGTTCTCGTAGCTTCTAGGTTGTTCCTTGCAGCTTTTGTCCCTGCAGTGGTAGCGTGACCCCATGCTCGCCGAAGCCCGGAGAAGAATCCGGGGTAAATTCGAGTCATACTTCTCTGTCTTCTCTTTCCTCTCTACTCCAACCCACGATGACTTCGCCCGCTGTTGCAGCTCAATCACTCACTCCAGCCGCCATTCAAGCGGCATATGGTCTCATCCAACCACATGTGCACCGTACGCCGCTGCTGACATGCAAAACACTCGACACCATCGCCTCAACACCCCAATCCACCGAAGCCTTGGTCGGAACGCTGTTTGAAGGCCAAACTCCCGCTAGCCCACAATTTCGATTTTTCTTCAAGTGCGAGAACTTTCAGCGAATTGGTGCCTTCAAAGCAAGAGGTGCATTCCACGCATTGCTGCGACTGTTGGAGGAGCGCGGGGAGGAAGTCAAACGGCGCGGGGTGATTACACATAGCTCTGGTATTTTCTGATCTTCTGCTGCACAATTCGAAATTATACATGCTAAATCCTCTCCATTTCAGGAAACCATGCACAAGCCCTTGCCCTCGCTGCCTCGACTCTAGGCATTCCCGCCTACGTTGTGATGCCCCGCATCAGCACGCCATCGAAGATTGCGGGTACGCAGTCCCACGGGGCAGAGGTCATCTTCAGCGGCTCGACGAGTGTAGAACGTGAAGCTGTGGTGGCAGAGATACAGGCGAAGACAAATGCCATCCTCGTGCCGCCGTATGATGACTTCAATATCATTTGTGGGCAGGGTACAACCGGTTTGGAGCTGGAGGCACAGCATGCTGAACAATCTATGTCCGGAACCCTGGACGCAGTTATCACTCCTATTGGTGGAGGTGGACTCAACTCCGGCGTGGCGACGTGGTTCTCGGATAAGCAGACACGCGTGTTCGGTGCAGAGCCCAGCTTTGAAGGTGCAGATGATTGTCGACGCGGGCTGCAGGCCGGGAAGCGAGTGGAAGCCGTCGGCACCCTGACTATCGCAGACGGGCTACGCACTCCCGTGGGATTACTCAATTGGGAGGTTATCTCCAACGAGAAGAAGGTGGAAGGGGTATTCGCTGTCACCGAAGAGCAGATCAAGTCAGCCATGCGGTTGGTTATAGAGCGCATGAAGGTTGTTGTTGAGCCGAGTGCAGTGGTTGGACTGGCCGTATGTCTCTTTGATGAGAACTTCAGGCGACGAGTCGAACAAGAGGGTGGCAAGGATGGATGGGATGTTGGCGTTGTGTTCAGCGGCGGCAACACAACCGTCGAGGCGGTTGCCAAGCTGTTTACATGAACCTACGAGATTGAATAGAAAACATTGTGATAGATGAATAAATACCGTGGATAGAATCCTTCAATCAATGATGAGGATCAGTCATCTCAACCCCAGAGTCATGCATGTAAAATGAAAAGCTCCCACCATTGTTCGCCTCGATTGCTTCCACTATGCGAAGAGGCCATTCATCGCGGCCCCACGAATTGACCCATGCCGATATCTTCCCTTGCTGAACCACGCTCTGCCGCGAAGGGGCGTCTTTCACGGCTGCATGAGCGGCCATGCTCGGTGGAAATGGGCGCACAGAAGACCGGTGGACAATCAGACGCAGTGTTGGAAAAGTGCCCCAGGGTGCAGGGAGAGCAGGTCTCAGCGATGGAACACGAGCTTGGGAGTGGTTGTAGTGACCAGGGCCAGAAGCTCGGCCCCCTGAGACCGTTGCGGTATATACAACTGCACACTGAAACTGACTCTGGAGGCCCTTCAGTTCCCTCACCAGCTCAGCATAAAGGTCAGACAAATGGAACCTCTTTTTTTGCTCGCGCTGGGAATCAATTTCTACCTGAGGACGCCCAATTTCTTCGGTCCGAGCGACTTCGTCACGCAGCCGGTCTTGCCAGAAGAACGCGGTGGCACTGTCGATGGCGATCATTTGTAAGGGACGTGATGCGGAACGATGTCGCGAGAGATCGAAAAGGTATGAGTCCAGCGTGTGGATTGTGGCCAACAGAGCGGATGAAGATTGCGGACGAAAGACATGGACATGCTGTAGTGAAGAGACGAGCAATGATTCAAGATGGTGATCTGGCAATCCTCCTGGTTGGGCTTGAACCCCAAGATGTGATTCAGATAGCCCTCGCTGCTGCAGTACGATACTTCGAGCCACAGTTCTTAGCCTTTCGGCATCGAATCGATCGTCGGTGTCTATGAACACCACAGCTGCCTCTTGGCCACTGACTGAGATGTCCCCACATTTTCGTGGTAAAATAGCGAGAGCCGTGAGATAGTACAATAGTTGTGACTTCCCCGAAGCCGATAGGCTGCTTGAAATCTCCACGACAGGAACCTGCCGTTTCTTACTACCGTCTGACTCTGAGAACAACACATTGGCAGATGGGTCAAAGTCTTGCGCTGCGTGTATTTCATCCGGCCTATAAGCCTGACCAGCCGGGAATTCACTGTGCAGCAGCATTTCCTCATCTTCAGTGGTCTGCTGTTCTGCAGACTCGTTTAGAGATTGAGGTTGTCCATCGTTTACAGCACCCACAGCAAGTGCTTTTGGCGCAAAGACTTCAAGCAAAGTGTCCAGAATAGGCACGCCTAATGAGTGTCTCTCATGGTTTGTGTGACCAGGATAAAGATGGGCCAATCCAGAGAGTATCTAGGACTAGTCAACTCAACGCATTCGACGAAATAGGAAAGCTGCCATACCTCATCTAGTCCCTCTTGGTGTACATCGGCTAATGATCTCTCCCCGAGAGTGGCTGCCATTGATAAGCAATAGATTGCGTCATGGATCGAACATCACTATAGCTTGACCAAGACGTATAAAGTCCAGTGAATAGATGTCAGCAAAGTGGCAGAAGTGTAGAAGTGAAGTGTAGAAGCGGAAACTCGAATAGCGCGGCTGACAGAGCTTCCGAACTTCCAACCTTGCAAGCCCGTTTCCCTTCAAATTCACTTCGAATCTTTTCCTTTCGACACGAATCCTTCAAAATATCGCTCTAGTTCAATTATCCCATATTCACAATCGCAAATTACAATGGCTCCTCTCGTCCCCATATTCTCCGCCGAATCCCTCCCCGATCATGTCAATACCGTCCGCCGCAACTTCCAAGAGAAACGCCGCAAAGGCGAACCAGTCAACCTCAAGGAGTGCCCATTACTTGAAATGACACAATTCTCTTGCAATCCACCACAAAATGGGATTCCCAAACCAGGGGTTGTGGTATGCCAGCCTGTGGTGCGGTTGTTCCGACGGTGAGTCTTGAGCATCGAGTTCAAGTCAAATAGCAAGCTGATCTTGTAGCTGTGCCGGTGGGTTAATGGTTGAAACAACATCATGGGAACCGATTAGGCTGGCAGAGGAAGCAAAACAAAAGCAAGCAGCCTATACAAAACAATGAGAGGGACTACTTTGCATTATGAATGCGCATTGGGCGGAGTTGGCTATATGGGATTACAATTACTTGCAGGTTTCAAGAATAAAAGTTGGATTCGAATCATGCTTGACTGCCATGGGGTATCTCCTCAGGTCATGTTCCTGAACTAAAACACAAGCGCCAGCCCATCGGGGGAGAAAAAGAAAGAGGGAAAACCACAGAACGCCGGTAAGCCTTATACCTTTGTAATTTACATGTCGATCGTGACATCCGCTGGCTCGACACTTGCTGGAGGCTTTGGAGTCTTCTCCTCTCCTCGCCGTGCATTCGAGCTTGTCCGGCGCCAGAGATCTCGCTCACAGTTGACAATGGGGCCCAACTCCATATCCCACGAGAGCTTGGGCCGGGTCTTGGTGTCGGCATCCACCGGATGTCCCGAATCAATATCCATGGCTGAGCTCGTGAAGGTGCCCTGAGAGTCCTTTTGCTTTTTGGAAATTCCCTTGATCGTCTTTTCGAACATGCTTTCCATGCTGTCCGTTCTCCGACCCCAGAGTTTCTTATCGCGGCCAGTCGAGCCCGTCTGGTTGTCACGAAATGCAGCGCTCGCTAATTTGCGCAAAGCTTCCTCGCCATGCCGTCCATCCTCTGCAGCGCGTTCCCTAATCTTGCGCGGGTCGTTGTCTCGTCCAATGAACACTGCAGTGGCAGAATATGTGTGTTTGCTAGGGAAGCTCGGGAAATGCTTTGGTATGTAGGGACGACTTGCGCGGTCGTCTTCACTGCTCAGAGCCGTGAGAAATGGGAGAGACTTTGATATTTCATTCTCTGGGGGTGGAGATGGTAACAATGTCGGCGTGGGTCTATCTGAGGGCGCTGGTTTGAGATGAGGGAGAAGATCATCGGGATTGAGGCGGAAACGCTTTAGAGCGTGATCGAAATCTTGCGGGATCGGTTGAACGCGTCGCGCAGATAGCATAGACTGACGGATGAATGTGGAGAGTCGTAGCATGTCTAGAGATTTCAGGCGCAACCTGTCAATTCAAGCTTCAAAATGGATGCAATGCTAGGTCACGTACACTCCTCAGTAGCACTGCAGAGACTTGACAGCGCAGCTGGATCAGCCAATTCAAACCCTGAGTCCTTTAAAGTCTGACTGATTGCACGATTCATCAATTGGTCGAGGTGGGTGTCATCTTGCACGACTGGCTCGGATGTAGACGGGAGAACAACCGGCTCCTGTAAACGATGATGGTGATGGTAGTGCCGCTTTACCCGCTTCGGGTTGTTTCGGTCGAGTGATGAAGAAGGTCGTTTAACTTGGGCGCCCGATGTCGCCATGGCCATTGTATTGGTCTGATAGAAGAAGTGATCCTCCCGACCAGGCAATGCTATCAAATAGGGGTCACGTGCAGAAAGCGGTGAGGAAACTGATGCGCAGCTGTCAGAGACCTTCAGGGACTTATATGAGCAAGCAATATGAATGGCTTGTTTCGGGTTTTTGCGTAGATGGATCACTTAGGTAAGGTAGATGAGCAAATAATGCCACCAGAACTAGGCTTCGTCCATCTCACATACCCTCCATCTCGAGGGCTGTAGTTGCCGTGACCCTTGCTTTTGATATTCACATAGGTAGTGCCAGAAAGCGAAGTACTCATTTCATTGAGGTAAGTGATTCAGTATATAGAAAGCTACAAGAGAACAAATCTGTAATCGTATGTCGCAGCCCTGAAATAGCAAGGGAATGGTGAACATGCCATCGTTCGCTCTCAGAGTAAGACCGACCAATCCGGCGGCTCGCTTAGTCCGCTCCGAAGCTTCAACTTCACTTCACAAATCAGCCTTCCTTCTTCCCCCCCCCCCTCCTCTCCCCACCAACGTCCGAGGCAGATTTCAAGCTGTCCGTAACCCATATCGCTTTTGCTCAAGCATCGATTGACGCGACTTATTCGTCACAATGCCCGCCGCTATTCCCCCCATTACCGGCGTACGTGCCCCTTCCGTTGAAGGCCGGGTTAACCCGAGCGGGTTTATCAGGTCGATTGAGATGTTCGCAATGGTATACTGACATACTATCTTTGTCTATAGATGCTCCGCCGTGGTCTTGTTCTGGACCTGAGCACCGCTTTCGGTAAGTTGTGATCCAGATCGAGTGGCATGATCAAATGACAAGTTGGATATCGCGATCTCTCGTACCACGTCAAATTCAAGCACCAAGAATTGGCTGGGATGAGATCAACAAGTGAAATAGTTGCTGATCATGGTATCTCATCCAATAGGCTTCGGTACTACCTTCGGCTACCTCTGGTGGTACGGTAAGTAGATCCGGCTGCGCCGACCCCACGCGATTGATGACCTCGAAATCTAACATGTCTGTCTCACAGGCTACCACCTCCCCCGCGTGCGTGAGCGCGATACCTACTACGCCCGCCTCGAGGCTGAGCGTGCTGCCCAGCGGGGTTAAATCGACCGGCCCTGATCACCTCCTCTCGATCATCTCCTCCCGCCCGTTCGGCGCCAGTTCTTTTCTCTGTCAAAGCGTTATCTAGAAAATCGCCCGGTGATGGGGTCATATGTCTCAACATCACCATCGGGCTTGGTTGGATCGACGGGTGTATACGAGTGCGTGGTTAGATTTGAGATCGATTGTACATATACGCCTCAAGACAACCAACCGTTTTGATTTTGGACTTGACACTTTTTCTAGCTCAGTGAGATAGATTATCGATTGGTCATGGCTATCGCAGGCCGTTCTACGTAGTGGCACCCGAACGCGCAGATTGATCTGCTTGACCCCTACGCCTGATCAGCCAAAATGAGCGAATTGGATCTATTGTGTTCAAACGCTAAATACGCCGGATATATGTACGTGGAAACACCAGCGCAACCCCCATGGGTTTGCTGAACCATGTCTGCGCCATGTAAAGCCATAGATCGTCATCCCGTATCTTCTCGTCGCCGCGGGGTATGGGCGGAGTCTGGATATGGGAACCGATGGAAAACTGCAAATGTGAAGAAGTCCTAGCTGGCGTTCACCGTAGCACCCGCTCAAATGATATGCCTCGGACGGACCCGCCGGCCATAGAGTTGCGTACGTTCTTCTTGAAGGTGTCACGAGTGACGCGAAGGTCTTCCGCGGCGTCCTTGTTGAGAGGGTCAGAGGCGTTTGGCTCGAGGAAAAGGAACTGCAGCGGAATACCAGTCAGCGAAGGTAATGACCAGTCAAAAGAAAGAAATCAACGGACCTGCATGCCCACAATGACAGCATTCAAATTCAACACGGGCTTCCAGTCCTCTCGTAGAATGTTTAAGCAGACGTTGCCATCCAGGTCGATATTGGGATGGTAGATCTTCTGTGTGCATTTGACCTTGGGAGGATCATGAGGGAAGTTCTGGTTGACGGCAAAACTAAAGTTGAAGACACCACCCTTATACATGCCCTCGTCCGGTTCGATGGTCAAGGTGAAGTTGAGGATGTCGTCGGGGTTTGGGAAAGACATTTTCATCGTGCTGCCGAGGGTGAGTTCTTGAAGATCTGAAGAGATAAGAGGTTAGAGATACATATAACAACGATCCAGTAAGTAAGTAGTGAGAGTAATACTGTCCACTAGAAGAAAGCCACTCACCTCGTTGCACGCGTAATTGCGCCGCGGTGACCTTCTTCTTCTTCTTGCCGGCAGCACCCTCGGCATTCTCAGCCTCCTGCTGCTTTTGTTTCTGTAAAGACTGTTAACCATAGTTCGGCATTTTCGTGAGAGCTAAATCGATCCCTACCATCGACCAGATTTTCAACATTTTAGCTGGGAGTCACCACCCCACCTGGTGGAACGGACAGGGTTTGGAAGAGCGGAGTAGGAGGGTTGTGGCACGGCAACCGCTGGGGATATCAGGTAAGAAATGAGAGACAGAAAGGAGATGCAGAGCTTCAGGGCGAGATCAACGGGTGACAAGGGTGACAACAGTGAGAGTGAAGGATAGCCCTGGGCTTGCGGGGGTCTCAGATCAGCAATCGCCTTTATCGCCTCTCCGCCTTCCACCATTTGACGTATTCGACCTGGGCACTGCCTATGAGAAACATGACTACATATCTCTCTACTCAGTAAATCTCGAAGAAAAAAAAATAATTTGAATATGAAGTACATAATCATAGCGCTCCGAATGCGATCCCGGTGCATGGCTGATCCGACAAAAAAGATCACAGTAACCGTCAAGGGTAGAACCGTGCGAATACATACTGGCTGGCATTGCAAAATCAAAAGAGAACAGAGGTGGGCATCTTTAGGTAGAATACAGATCACGGTATGGGAAATAAAAAGAAGAGAATAGGAAATTGTGTCAGGGGGGTCATGAAAAGGGTACACATTTTGTGCTCGCTGGAGAACTACCGGC